CAAACCGCTCGGGCAATGGGCAACAACACAACCATAAACAAGAGCTACAACCTTACATGGCAATTTCGTGTTGATTTCAATTTTCTTTACCCAGTTAGGCTTCATTTTTGTGATTTTCAATTCAACCTCAAGTTATGGTCATGGGATTGCAAGTGTTTCTAATTTACATGGATAATCTAGAGTGTGAACAAAGAGCGGACATAATCATGTGGGCTGATGGGAATGGGATTCCAACATACAGAGACTACTTGGTGTTCATGCAGCGTACAGGCTCCTCTGGAAGCAAGAAGAAAGTGAATCTCACCATTGCACTGCAGGCAGACCCAAATGATTTGCGTAGTGAAATCAGCGATGCAATGAATGGTCTGGAAATCCTCAAACTCAACTCAACAACTCAGACAGCAATCTCGTGGGACCCAACCCCGATCCACCTCTTATGGAGCCAGCAAATACGGCAGGCCCAGAAAAATCTGAGTCAAGGAGTACTACTTTGCTTGCCATTGTTGCTAGTGTAGTTTCCACCACAATCGCACAGCTCTCTGTTCTAGGGTTATTCTTGGGTTTTAGGCGACGATAGAAACTCAATGACAATGATCTCTCCACCCGCAAAGCCACCAACTCAACCAAGAGCCGGGGCTCATCCTCGTTCGATTTGTGTCACTACTTTTCCTTGTCGGAGATTAAAGCCGCCACCCGAAACTTCAGCGATATTTGTATTATTGGGCGTGGCGGGTTTGGTAACGTGTATAAAGGATACCTTGACAATGGGGCCACCCCCGTTGCGATAAAACGGCTGAAACCCGAGTCATCACAAGGGGCCCACGAATTCCAGAAGGAGATCCAATGCTTTCACAACTTCGCCACCAGCATTTGGTGTCGCTCGTAGGATACTGTACGGACAATGGTGAGATGATCTTGGTCTATGATTACATGGCACGTGGGACCCTTTGTGACCACCTTTACCACACAGATAATCCATCTCTATCTTGGGATCAACGGCTCCAAATTTGTATCGGTGCAGCTCATGGGTTGAATTATCTTCACACGGGTGCGCACTACACTATCATCCATCGTGACGTAAAGAGCACCAACATCTTATTGGATGAGAAATGGGTGGCTAAAGTCTCGGATTTTGGGCTTTCAAAAATGAGAACCATCACCATGTCCAAGACCCACATCAGCACGATGGTGAAGGGTAGTTTCGGGTATTTAGACCCAGAATACTACCGTCGTAACCAGTTGACTGAGAAGTCTGATGTGTACTCGTTTGGCATGGTGTTGTGTGAGGTGTTATGGGCGAGGCCGGCTTTATTACGAACCGTGGAGAAGAAGCAAATGAGTTTACCCGAGTGGTTCAAGAACTGTCATCGAGAAAAATAATAACAGTGAAGAAGAATTAGAACATAGCAGATATTTGGGGAATAGCTCGATGATCATTGATTTCTATTCATGCTTGCTTTATACAATTACAGTTTGACTATTGATACAACATATATGGTAATATTAGTCCTAGAAGGAAACAAGATAACAAAGATTACAAGAGATTGATATAATTCCTGAAATCACGTATGATCAGTAGAGTGATATGAGGATGAGGAATTCAAGGCTCTGATGTCGTGGTGATTGGCTGTAATATTAGCATGATTAGATGCATCATTAGTGCTATTCTCTTCAATCGCAAAGGGACACTTGATCAAATCATTGACTCGAGCCTCAAGGATAAGATTGGAAACGCTTGCTTGAATAAGTTTGTTGAGATGGCGATAACTTGTATGCATGATAATGGGATCGAACGGCCGTCTATGAATGACGTCGTGTGGGGGCTGGAGTATGCAATGCAAATTCATCAAAGAGAGGAGAGAGAGAAAGATTTCGACCTTGAAATCAAGGGTGAAGATGAGGTTGCGTTCATGGGCGGAACCAAGGCAAGGGCTGCCCTTGGCTGTAGCCCAGGGAAGGTTTGGATAAAAAATAAATTAAATATACATATATCATAATATTTTAACTAAAAACAAATAAATATATATACAATTTCAACACCAATAGGCATAGTAAGAGGTCTTCCACATTTGTATTTGGTGTCAAAGTTTGTCCCAACATCAATTTTAAAAATTTTATATTAATTTGTCTCCAAAAGAGAAGCATTTTACTATAGAAAATGTAAGTAAAAAAAAAAATTATCATTTGATTTTAAGCTAATAACTTTAGCTAGCCCACCCATTGAAAAATTTCTGGTTCCGCCCTTGGTTGCGTTGATGAATGATAATCATTCTACAAGGTTTACTACTAGTCGTAGTTGGGAAGGAGAGACGTTGAACAGCGGGCTTACCAAAACAAGTAGTGAGCAAAACTCTACAACTAACGAATCGATTAAAGGGATGTCGAGGATAGTGTTTTCTGGGATCAACGATTCCGATGGGAGATGATGATTGATGATCAACATTTTTAGTCAGAACAATCACAAGCTAGGGCCTGGACTATGTGTTAGAGTTTGAGTGGGAAAAGAGTTTCCTACACTCTTTATAAGAGTAGGGATCTTTCACTATAATAAACACAATTGGGTTTTTCTGAAGTGGGCTTTGGACTTGTTGGCATTATTTAAATTAAATATATATATATTTATATATTTAAGTTTGATAACTTCAGATAATTGCTGTTAGTTTGAAATTCAAAGTTCAAACATATCTGTTCAAACATATATGTCCAAGGGGTGTCTTAGGCTTATTTAAATAGCCAAACGTACAGAGTAGAAAACCAACTTTTGAAACCCAAACATCTCACACAACACTGAAAAACCATTGAGAGTATCCATACTGTAGTTCGCTAGATACCAAAATTCAAGTGCTAGAATTTTGGTTTTGATAGTTGTATCCTGGTGGACAGTTGTCTGCAAAACCACGAGCACAGGAGTGGGGGCGAAATACTGTTTAAGGACATAACAAATCTGCTAGCCTCTATCATCTCTTCAAGTTAGTGTTTCTAGTTTAAATACAGACTCTTGTATATGTAATTTTCTGTTGTTATATATTGATTCATTCAAAAGCCTTATATACATATATGTAGTCTGTTATATTATTCAACTTACTGATTGTTTCCAACACTATGATATTTATTTGTATTAGCAAGTATGAGAGTAAATAAATATGTGTATATATGTTACCAACCATCTCAACTAAGCTTGTTCTTTTTCTTTTGATCGAGCTTGTAATTTGGTAGTTTCTTATATTCAGTAAATTCAATAATTAAACTTCCAATTATAGTCAGCAATTCTGTCATGTCAGATATAAACACAAATTCTATAGAACGGTAAGAGGTTAAATGCGAAGTCATATATCAAATAAGCAACATCTTTCTATAATATGACTTTGCATCTAATCCCTTAACGTTGTATAGAATTTGTAAATTTTTTGTTTTACTCACCTAAAATAAGATGGGATTTAAACACATAATTTAATGTTTATCTTTTTCAAGGACATCAATGTATAATTGAAATGGAGTGGTAGGCAGATGCGTGTTAGTGGTGATGGTGGAGGTGATGTCATTGCCTGCCATCACCATGACGTGAGATGTTGGTGGTAGGGCTGCTATAGTGATAAGGTGTATGATTGAACTAAATTAACTTGTGTGGTGATGAATTATATGTGCACAAGCAGACTCATGATGTGGATGGACCAACCAAATAAATGAGTTGTTTTAAGTTTGTGCACTGCAGAGGTAGAGAGAAAACGTAGGTACCAGGGCACAAGTAGAGTACTGGCAATATACTACATATCCAAGGAGAAAGGGGCCATGAGACTATATATATATGCTTTAAGCTGAGCTGAAACCATACAACATGCAATATTCGCTAGTCGCTTTTAACTTTTCAAGTGGCTTTGTACAATCCCTACAATAAATACAAAGTGTAGCTCGCAACTTGCATTTTCCAAATAAGTGATTGATTACAACAGCTAGCTAGGCCAAGAAGAAGAGTACCACTCTAGTCCTAGAGTGTTGAGGATCCATTGCAAGAAATAAGAGGAAGAAGAAAAACACTCTAATCAATTCACCGCGAATTAATGGGTTCATCAGTCGTCGTGGGTGTGTTTGTGATTATGCTGGCGACGGTGATGATGTCTCAGCTGCCCAGCACAAGCCATTGCCTGATGAACAAGAGCAGCAGCAGCACTGCCTCCTTCTCTAATTCGTGCATTCATGGTAGCACCCACCAATATTGCCAGCAGCTTATTATTCCACAGCATGAGGAGGAGGGCGTTGATGACTTGGAGTTGGAGCCGATGAATATGATCATGAAGCATATGCCGGTGGATGATTCGCATCACGAAACTAGCAACAGAATGCTGTCGTCATCGAATATTTATCCTACGACTGCGTTCCGAAGGGGCCCGGCTTTTGATTGTGAGAGAAACAGGCATCCCGTATGCACTCCTCCTCTCAGAGACAATAAGCATGGGATCAAATGTAGAAACCCGTACGTCAAAGGTTGCTAAACGAGCGATCACTCCTAGGGGCGGATCTATTAAGGCGCAAGGAGGTGCAGCTGCACCTCCCTTTGCCGGAAAAACCATTGTAGGTGCTTCAAATTGCCCCTTTGCTCAACTGGTGTACAGATTACCTTATTTCCATTTTCAACATTTAAGTAAATGTCTCCATTTACTTAAGTTTACAATGTAAATAAGGAAGTACCCCCATTTGGATTCAAATAAAAATACTAGAAAATCAAATTCCCACCAAATCAAAATATGAAAATTCGGTTTTAGTGCAAAATACGATTTAAGCTAAAAATGATGGCTCATTAAGTCAATATATACTTCATACTAAAATCCCATAAATTCAAGTTTTCTTATTTGATGTATAAGGAATAAAAGCCGCCAAAAATTATCTTGAGAAAATGATTATTCCGAAAAACCATTTTCATACTTAGTCAATATTGCACCTCCGCTCAAAAATTTCTAGGTCCGCCACTCCTTCAAGTTTCTTTCTTGAACCAATTAATAGAAATTGCCATTTTTCTTTTATGTCGTCGTTGCTTTCATTGTCGGAGATCAAAGCCGCCACCAGAAACTTCAACGATGGTTCTATTATCGGTGTTGGTGGGTTCGGCCACGTGTACAAAAGGAGCATCGATCAGGGCACCCTTGTTGCGATCAAACGGCTTAAACCCGAGTCGCAACAAGGGGTCCCGGAGTTTAGGGCGGAGATCTATATGCTCTCCCAACTCCGCCACCAACATTTGGTGTCTCTCATCGGGTACTGTAAAGATAGAAGGGAAATGATCTTGGTGTATGAGTACATGGAAAATAAGACTCTTTATGATCATCTAATGAACCCAAAATCCGATCCTAATGCACAACCACTTCCCTGGGAAAAACGGCTCCAGATTTGTATTGGCGCAGCGCGTGGTTTGCACTACCTTCACACTGGTGGTACGGAAGGCACCATCATTCACCGTGATGTAAAAAGCACAAACATTTTATTGGACGAGAATTGGGTGGCCAAAGTTTCGGATTTCGGGTTGTCGAAAATGGGCTCAATGACCATGTCCAAGATCCACATTACCACGACAGTGAAGGGTAGTTATGGGTATTTGGACCCAGAATACATGCTCCTAAATCAATTGACCGAGAAGTCAGATGTGTACTCATTCGGCGTCGTGTTGTGTGAGGTGCTGTGTGCAAGGCCAGCCCTGATGCGTACAGTGGAGAAGAAGGAAATGAGTTTGGCTATGTGGTTCGAGGCCTGCCATCAAAATGGGGAACTTGATCAAATCATTGATCCAAGCTTGAAGGGTAAAATTGAAGACGAATGCTTCAAAGTGTTCGTTGAGATTGCGCTGAGGTGGTATGCATAAGAATGGGAAACAACGTCCGTCGATGAACAACGTGGTGGAGGTGCTTGTGCAAGCATTAAAACTTCAGCAGAACGGAGATAAGAAGGACGAGGATGATGAAACAAAGGAGGCTGCAATTATGAATGAGAGCGATGGAGGTTTTAGTTCCAACTGGACAGACTCGTCAGATTCGAAGAACAGTAGTAGGATGACCAACACCAGTAGTGACCAAAGTTGTTCGACCACCAACAATTCCATTAAAAGAATGTCAGGGACAGTTTTTTCTGAGATCAAAGATCCCAGTGGAAGATGATGCGTGATGATGATGATGAGCAGCACTTGTAATAAAATTAAAGAGAACAATATATCTTGCTAAAACTCAGAAGCTTCATTTGGATTGTATGGTATGTTTTAGTATTATTGTAAGCTTGTAATTCTAACTCAATTTGTGATTGTTATTTCTTAAAATTCCAAGGCATGTACAAGATGCATGAATTGTTTATCCCGATGAGGATGACCAAATGTATTGGATTTTAGGCATGCCATTGCCAACTGTGGAAGCTCCGATATGCTGTTCGTTGTGCAAAAGTTGGGGAATCACATGGTCTCTTAATATTCTTAATTAAAGTGAGATGGTGGGAGACCTGATGAACTGATAATTGAACTTTTTTCTTTTTCTTTTTCTTTTTCTTATATTATGACTTCTAAAAACAAATGAATAAAACATTTGTAGTTCAAACAATTTTAGTTCAAAAAATAATAATGGAAGACAAAACAATTATGGTGGAGTTTTAGTATAGTACAATTATGGTGAGAAAAAACTACTTTAATACCTTTAAAGTAAAAAAAATAAAAAATAAAACTCCCATCAAGCAGCAACCACCTCCCTTCCCAACCCAGCCCTTATACTGCCTGCCAATTGCCGCTGCCCCTTACTAAGCTGTTAACATTCTTTTAGTTTCGTGTAAATGTACATATGCTAAATGTAGAAGCTCGATATCTTATTTGACCACACTGGCCTAAATTTGAGGTGATAATTGTAAAATTCGTCCTTCAATTTATCATTGCTTTTGATAATTTATTCCACAAAAAAAGAATTACCAAAATAAAGGCCATCATTACTTTACTTCTTTCCATGGTCAATTTCTGCATCTCTTTCTGATTTCTCTGTCGGATTCTACTGCATATGTTTTTCTTGGTTTCTTCTTCAACAACCCCCCTTCTCTCTCTCTCTCTCCCAATAAATTGTTGGGAAATAGCCTTCTATGCCACCCTTTTGCTAATTTTAACTAAAAATACCACCCCTTCCCAATTTTTTTTACAACTAACACCTTTAAATATAAAATTATTGCCCACTTATTGTACCCATATCAGTTTTTCAGAAATTGGCTCTCTCTCTCACTGTCTTCGCTCTTTCTCTTCGGCTCATCTCTCTCCCTAGTGTACCTCTCTCTCTTCGACGTAGTGCTCTTTCCCCGTCAACAGTGGCCGTTCATCCAAGCGGAAATCCATCGTTGACATTGACGAGGTGCTGTTCATAACCATTTTCTTTGAAATGTGGGGTTTTTGTGAAGGTTTATGGTGTCTGGATTTCTAAGAAATTGGTTTGGTTGCTCAGAAATTGGGTTTGGGTTTATGGGTTTCTATGAACTGGGTAATAACGCACACCCACTGTCACTGGCTCGCAGCCACTGTTCACAGAAATCAAACTCTTCATTTTGTCACAGAACGTTTGGGCTTCGTTCACCTTTGGGAATCTTGGGTTAGCTTATAGTAGATGTTTGTGCACTGTTTGGTATTTTAAATTAGAATCAGTGGTTGTGGCTGATCTGAGAGGTTGTCTATAAGACCACAAAATCAATTATTAAATAAAACATGATTTCGGAGAAATCATGACAATGTAAGCTTATAAAACCCCGTCTTTGATATTTAGGATAACATATGGCTGCTTAACTGATCATCGAGCAGTTGTCTATTTCTATCACAGATTCTAAAGTTTGTTTCATGGAACATTTCATACTAAAGCTGCTGGTACCTCTGCTAGATGCATTTACTGTAAGTATGACTCACTCCTAGAAGATTGCTTTTCACTGTGGTGCAAGTTGACTGCATAATGACAGATAGCCACCCACAGCTGTGAAACAACTTTGCGCTAATGCAGTTGTAATCTGTTGCAGAATTTGAAGAGATATTAATAGTTTAAATAAATTGGTAAGCTTTGCTTATTCTTTCATTTTTTGGGGCATAAGAATCAATATAGTATGCTATAGGTATGCATATTGTTAGCAGTTTTAGGACATACCCTAATTTGATTCCTTTTGCTGGTATTTCATTGTTCTGAAGCCGAGGCTGAGTTTGATTATGTGGCTGGCTTAGCTGCAGATGGATGGGTGTTTGCAAATCATATCCATTAGTGATGGTATATGGAGGTTGGGAACTTTTGTTTTCTTTATTCACACCCCTTGCTCCATAAACCTGAGATTAAAAACTTCTGTTTCAGCCTTTTCCAGAGGAGAAACCTTCACATTTGCTTATATTATAATTAACATAATGGCCTTATGTTTTTGGCTTAGTGATATCTCATTTAGCTTCTCTCTCTTTCCTTCTACCTGTCACCTGTCTCCTCCCTTTAGTGAAGTATAATATGTGTTAAATAGAAGAGTAGAGCTTAAGGGATATATTTTAATAGTATTATACAATCTTTTAGACAATACCTTCTCTAGCAGTTCTGCATTCTCTTTACCTACAAGGTCTAGCTTCTTATACAGTTCCATATTCTCTTGCTGTATGAGATTTCCCTGAAATAAGTAAAAAGAATGATATAAAATAGGTATAAATTAGGCCCCAAGAACGTGAATTAACATAAATGGACTAGGAGAAACTGAGGCAGTTTTCTTTGGTAACCTTCTGGTTCAGTTCTTTTATTTCATCATTTAATATCTGGTCCTGCAGAAAAATGACCGAGTGTCATGCATGTGCTACATAAAGAAGGGATCTTGACAGTATTAACTGAGACTATATAATCAGGACTAGGGCGTACCTTTTTCATCCGGACACCTTTCAAACTTGTCTCCAGTTGGTTTTCCAGGCTCTGTAGATCTTTGGCACTCAAACCAGAAAGTTCTTCACCCATTAACTGCCTGCAAGTTTATACGGAAACATCCAGCCAATCTTTCATTTGATCTCCAATGAACGGTCGCAAATGTTAGTTTTTAACTTGGAAAAATAAAATAAAATTGAAAGTTACTTTTGGGAAATGTTGAACTTTTATAATGAATATGGCTTCAGTGCAGAAGGCTTGATAGTAAATAGAAAATCTATATGCTGGGGGTTTTCTGGCTAGCTAAAAATGTGTGAGAAATGATGAATCTATCTGATTGCAGCCTATTTAATGTTTAATACCTTCATTAAAAAAAGGTTGTTGATAGTGCTTTGACTATCTTGCAGATTATAATGGCAAAACCAGCAGGTGGCCCTAGTAAGAGAGATCAGCCTGCTTGGATGGATGAGGACTAATTTTTGTGTGTATGACAATTGACTATCTTTGCTTGTATTGCTGTATGTTAGGGATCTTTTGTTCCATTTTAGTAACAATTTTGTTTAGGAGAAAAAGAAACATATTGCAGATCATGCTTTGTAAATGCCACTCTTCTATTACGATGGACATGTGGTGTGCCCTTGTTGGGTAGGTTTGGATTGAAACCATGGTCGAGTGCTTGGGCCATGTTTAGTGAGAAGCTTGAATGAATTTTCTTTTCTGTTGTCTTTTCAAGCATGCCAAAAATCATCCTGGTTTTGTAATATGTGGCTTGTGCCTAATTAATTTACTGTGGATCTTGCATTTTTGTACCCAATATTCGATAGTTGCCTTCTTTTGAACAAAGATTCATTGAGGGAGAGAATTACTTTCCTTTTGAATATGAATCGATGTGCAACTCCAACTATCATTTCAAAGGTCAACATCAATTCATGCTAATATAAGGATGAATAACAATTGTCGTGTCTATGAGATTTGAATTCAGAATTACTTTTAATGAAGTGGAGACTGTTATTAGACCAAATGGCCATTGACATACGATATAATAGCAATATTAGGTCAATATATGTACACTATAGAGGCAATATTAGAGCAATATAACCACAATACAATAGCAATAGTATTACAATATCACCTATAAAAATATAATTATTGTCCACTTATTGCTGATTTTTCACATGTTCAAAAATTTTGTTCTCTCTTAGCTCACTCAGCTCTCTCTCTAGCACATCTCTCTTTCTCTTTGGTATCTGTCTATTACAGCTCTCTGTCTCTCTTTGTCTCTCTCTCTCTCTCTAGTGCAACTCTGTCTCTCTCTCT